AAGCTGTGATTTTTCTTTCTTTTGTATATCTTTATATGTATATATATCTTTATATCTGTATCTATGTATATCTGTATCTATGTATATATATCTTTATATCTTTAAAGATATACAGATATCTTTATATATATATATAAAGTTGCACCTATGAAGCTGTGATTTTTCTTTCTTTTGTATATCTTTATATGTATATATATCTTTATATCTGTATCTATGTATATCTGTATCTATGTATATATATCTTTATATCTTTAAAGATATACAGATATCTTTATATATATATATAAAGTTGCACCTATGAAGCTGTGATTTTTCTTTCTTTTGTATATCTTTATATGTATATATATCTTTATATCTGTATCTATGTATATCTGTATCTATGTATATATATCTTTATATCTTTAAAGATATACAGATATCTTTATATATATATATAAAGTTGCACCTATGAAGCTGTGATTTTTCTTTCTTTTGTATATCTTTATATGTATATATATATATATATATATATATGCATAAAAGAAGCTATTTGGTTTGGCACACAGATTTGAGAGTACCCTTATGAAACACAGAACTGGAAGAGGTATGTCTTCAGTATACTCAGGACTGTTTTTACTCTCTCTGCTCCCGGGCATGAAACCCTAGTAGCTAACAGGAATGTATATTCTGTTCCAGGCACTAACTCATTGCAACAACTCTAAAAATATCAGCACTATTTTTATCCCCTTTCTATAGGTGAATAAATGAGCTAGAGAGGTGAAGTAATTTGTCTGATGTTTTGACTCTGAATTCAAACATTTGTTAAGTAGAGCACAGGGTGCTGGATGGTGAGCCGAAGTTCAACAATAGACCACAAGAGAAATTAAAATAGAGCAGTTAATTACTCACAAGACCTGGAGGAAGTACAGGGAATGCCTCCAGAGGCCACACAAGGAGGTCAAAGCAGAGTGCAGATGGAGACAGGGCCTGGGGTATGGGCTTTCATTAGGGTCTGCAGGTGTGGTGCTTCCGAGTTCCTAGTTCAGAGTGAGATCAGTCAATCTAAAGCAAAAGAGAAAAGAGTGCAGTTTTGGTAAGCCCCACAGGGACCTTATCTTAGGAACCATACAGGCACTGGGAGGCAGGGAAGATGGTTGATCACAAGGGCTACTGGGGAAATCCTATCAGGAACTTACCATTTGCTTGTGACTCTGTGGGCTGCTATCTAGGGCACGTGCTTGCATGGGTGGGGGGTGGCTAGTGTTAAGTTTAAGGTCTCTGCAGGCCACTTAGCCAAACAAAATGGATGCCCAGGCAGCAGCACCATGGAGTAGCTTGGCGAAACTCTCCACATTCAAGGCCACACAGGGATTAAGTGGCAAAATACGGCTTCAAACTCGGGCAGTCTGAATCCAGAGACTATCCTCCTATGCCTTATTACCTCCATGCTGGAAGAAAAAGAATCAAGACATCACCCAGCTGTTGTAATTTCAACCTACCTCTCAATGCCTGTAATGTTTTTTAAATTTTTAATTTTTTAACACATTCAAGGAAGGCCCTTAGTATGGTACCTGACACACTCAATGAACACTCATATAGCAATAATTATCTCTTTTCCTTCTTCTTAAATTACTTTTCCGCTCCGATACTCACATTAGAGGAAAACTGAATCTCACCCTCCCCTCATTTCTCAAGATCAAGATTGAGACCCCTTTTAACAAGACCTTTCTAGGTAACCTCATCTCCATTAGAGCACATCACTTTTTCTACATTCACCCAATCACTCTAAAGGAATGTTCTTTTAGAGAACATTCTTGGAGGAAGGTTCTTCTAATTTCACAATTTAAACCCATTTCCAGGCGCCTGGCTGGCTCAGTCGGTAAAGCATGCAGCCCTTGATCGGGGGGTTGTCAATTGTATCATAGAAAATACTTAAAAAAAAAAAAACAATCACCATAATCTCAACCCTTCCCGACTCCCTACAAAGAATTTCCGTTTACATATCCTGTTATCCTCTCAAACCGATCTGCTCATTCAATCAACCCACCGTGGTTGAGCTTCTTCAGTAAGTGCTAGACGCTGTATATTCTGTAATGAATAAAATCCTCATTTCCATGAACTCAGTCCAGTGGAGAATAATGCTCATGAATGAGACATAACGCGAATAAATGCTACACATACATCTGCGACCCCTGCTCACCGCCGCTACGATGCCGGGGACGGGAGAGGGGGTGGAAGGAGGTGATGGGACACCAGGGGCACTGGAGGAGGGCGCCCAAGGATGAGCGAGCATTAAAGGTTGGAAAGAGGCAAATAAGCGACTGCGGTGCGCAGACTGAAGAAAAAGATGAAAATGGGCGCAAGGAAGGGAGAAGGGGGAGAAGTGCTAGCGGGATGGACGATGAAGGCAGGCGGGCTCCTCGGGGCGAAGGTGCGTCCGTCTCACTCACCTCCTCCCTCTCCTCGTCCCGGAGGCCAGGCCGCGCGGATGGTCGCTCCCGGAGGGGCGCGGGGAGCGGGCCAGGAGGCAGAAGCGAAGTTGGCGGGGCGGCGGCGGGGGAGCCTCTCTGGAGAGCGAGAGAGCGAACGGCATCTGCAGGGCTGGTGTGGGGGATCCTCGGTCGGGGCCACTCCCCTGACGGCGCTGGCCATTCCAGGGCCTGCGCGGCCAGCAAGAGTGCGAGCGAGAGCCGCAGCCCCACGGCGCACGGGCGGATTTGCCCGGCTCCGCGCTCTTTCACGAACAACTGCGACGCTTACCCTCGGATCCCGACGCCTCCGTCTCCGGACCGCAGAGCGGGACACTGGAACCATCGTTGCCACCAAAGTAGGGGACACGCTCAGGAGCCTGGGAAAATCTCTGTTGCCTTGGCTCCCAGAAGCCACCTGCGTAACCGCCCGAAGCTGAGAAAAACGTGGAAAGCGTTCCGGGTACGTCGGCAAAACCCTTCCCCGGGGCTACGTGGCGTCCAGCCCATGTGAAACGGGTGGTGTATCCGTGTAAATAAGCCGCCGCTGCTGCCATGGGTTCGGAGCGCCCGTCCTTCCAGTTCCGCAGGAGGCTCTGCGGGTCTCGTTCGGATCAGAGAGCTTGTCTTAGCCTTACACTTGAAATACCCCAGGGGAAGGATGACGGACCACAAGGTACATTTCACAGAATGGCCATATCAACAACACAGTCAGTTCCGCTGCGTTTTAGGTGCTTTCTGTGAGTCTCTGTGTGTAACATATTCTATAATACTGGGCGCTTAGTGTGTCTCATGGATATGTGTATATATGTATGTATGCATAATATATGCAGATATACGTGTATACATGTACATATATGATATATAGGAATGGCTCAAGTCGAATCACATCTTTTTTTTTTTTTTGAGTCTACCCTGAATTAAAATTCTAAATGGGGAATGGGAGGAAAAAGCACAAAGTAGTCAAGGTACTTCTACACAGCTGACAGCGTATTTATTATAGTGTTGTCATATTTAGCAAAAAGAAAAAATACAGTAGACCAACTTACATTTGAATTTCTGATAAACAATGAACAATGTTTTAGTATAAGTTGTAAGGTTTCACAGGCGAGATACACACGACACCAGGAGAGATAGGCACAAGGCCAGGTTTATTAAAGGCGCCCTTGGGGAGGTTCCTCACTCAGGAGAGGAGAGTGGGGGAAGTCGCACACAGGAAGGGGTTGAGTGAGCTTTTATTAGGCCAGGGTAGGGCGGGGCTCATAACCATATTTGGTAAGGTTAGAGGTTGGGGGTTAGAGAGTCCCAAAGTGGCTGGTTTCTGTTTCTCGCATAGGTTTTGGTTTACTCAGGGTGACATGTCCTTGACAAATGTCCTTCTGGCGGGAAAGTTCTGGGTAGGGGAAGATGGTGGCCGCCAGGCCGCCAGGACGCCACCTTATTGTTCCTCCTGCATTTCCAGGGCCGCGGACCCAACATTCCGACCTTTTTGGTGTAATAGGGGCAGCGACTCAGATCTGGCTACTTCCTGCTGGCAGGGGGGCGTTGTCATAGGGTTCCTTGGATGTGGGCAGGTGGGAGTAGGGATGCAGGAGGAGCTGGTTGACAGTGACCCTGGAAACCTCACGTATGCGAGCCTGAATGAAGCCAAGAACACAGGGGGCGATTAGTAATAAGAGGCAAAGGAGAATAAGAGGACTTAGGATCGGGAGGAGCCAGGTCGTCAAGGGGGAGAGCCACCATTAAGAGAGGGTTGCTCCAGGGCAGGGCTGGCTATGGAGGGAGTCACGAACTTTTGCCAAGGTGTCCATATTGGTTTTGACTATACCGGATTCATTGATATAGTAACAGCACTTTTCACTGAGGAACATGCAGGTTCCTCCGTTGTTCGCGGTGAGAGGGTCCAGGGCTCCTTGATTCTGTAGAGCTACCTGGGCCACTGAGGTAATCTGCCACTGTAGGGATGCCAAGGACTCGGCTGAGGCCTCGACGGCTGTCCAGAGCTGTTCAGATAAATCTCGGGTAGTGTCTATGGAGTGGGCTAGGGCTCCAGTGCCCAGTCTGGTGGCCACTAAGGAAGATGCTAAGGAGACCCCGATGACCAGGGGAAGAAATTCAGCCCTTTTCTCTTGGGGGAGGGGGATAGTGAGGATGGCCATTTCCGCTAGGGCTGGCACCCTTCAGGCTGGCAATCTGTGGTGACCAGCTGACTAGACCGTGTGGTATTCCCATGGGTCTAAGTTTCCGCTAGGAAGAAGCGCCACCTGAACCCAGGGTCACCAGAGGGGCGGCTATGAGGGGGTAGAAGGAGGAGTGTGAGGAGAAGTGGTGCAGGAAATCCGCAACTGTGTAGGCCGCAGGGTCTGGGAAGTTTAGCCATCCTGTGGTGGAGCTCACTTTAGGCTGGAAATGTGTACCCATAGGTGGTGTCCCGGACATTTTGCCACAGTGGGGGTCGTAAGAATAACAGTATGGGGGCCAGTCCACCTGAGCTGTAAAGATTTTGGGTGAAGTTCTGGTAGAAGAACCTGGTCCCCCGGGGTTTAGGGACTGGGGGAAGTCTCCACCCAGGCTGTTGGAGACGGGGATGGTTGCATCACCATGGGGCCCTAAAAGGGCTCCTAGGAGGGTCAGATGGGGCAGATAGGATAGGAGGGGTGGAGGAGAAGCAGGGAGGTTGTGATTGAGCAGGAAGGGCCTGCCATTCAAGAGTTCAAAGGGGCTGAGTCCTGACGGTCTGCGAGGAGAGGCCCTGAGTCGGGTGAGTGCTAGTGGGAGAAGGGTTGTCTAAGAGAGGCAAGTTTCGAGTGTAAATTTGGTGAGTTGCTCCTTGAGGAGGCCATTGGCCCTCTCGACCTTACCCGAGGACTGGGGATGATAGGGGCTATGGAGTTTCCAGGTAATGCTGAGGCTCTCGGAGACTTGTTGTGTGTTGCTGGAAATGAAGGCTGGTCCGTTGTCCAATTGTAGGGTTCCAGGGAGCCCAAATCTTGGGATAATGTGTTTGATGAGAATTGTGGCGACCACGTCTGCTGTTTCCCTGGCGGTGGGGAACGGCTTGATCCAGCCTGTGAAGGTGTCCAGGGAGTTGATGGGTGGGTCCTGGTCTGTGGAGGCCGCCCTGGGCGTTGACCACAAAACAGGTTTTGGGGGCCTGGTGTACATCCTTAATGGTTTTTTGGAGGAGGGGGTGGTGAAAGAGAGGTTGGAGAAATTGGTATAAGGCCTTTGGACTGATGTGAAGGGACTGGTGGATGTCAGTAATGAGGGTGTGGATTAGGCCAGTCGGGAGGGCAATTTTGTCCTGGACACAATACCATCCCTTGTCGCCTAACCTGCCACCTAATGTCTCAAGGGCCTGAATCTCCTCATCAGTGTATGAGGGACTGTAGGGAGTGTTGAGGAATAGGAGGGGGGCTGGTGAGGAGTTTAAGGCCATTTATCGGGCAATAGAGTCGGCCTTGTTGCTCCCTAAAGAGATGGGGTCCTTGGAGGTCTGATGGCCATGGCAGTGGACTATAGCCACCTCAGTAGGGTTATTGAGGGCCTCAAGAAGTTTGGGAATGAGA